CACAATGAAGCAGCTGCAGCTAGCTTGCCAGTGCTGCATCCTAACCAGTTGCACCACAAGGGAGGGCCCACACATCTTAATTTTTAAATAGGAAAATTATGACAGAACTACCTAGTATGTTTGCAGAGTCAATCTGCTGATGCCAGCTCTACAGTTTGACTTAACTGTACTTTACAGGCCAGATTCTGTTTTTCACATGACATAGTATCAATGACGTCAATGTTAGGAGTCTTTTAATATTTTTGATATATTATTTCATATTTAGATGATGCCATGAGATATTAGTGAACTACTAGATAAGAAAATAGTCTGATGAAATTTTTGAGTAAAAATTGTTCACAACTGATATTGAGTAAGATTACCCACAATAAATGCAATTCACAACAAATGTTGTGACAAGCAATTCACAATTAAATGTTGAGCAGAAAAAGGAGGCTTGATTTCATATTTGGACTTTAAAGCAATTCCTTACAGAATAACATTTAAAAAATACAAAACATGATTGGCAGATCTGCAGATGGTAGAAACCAGGTGGGCAACTAGCATTTGAATGAAAAGATCAAGCAGAAATCAACAGAATAGACTATAAGAGGAATGGAGAATTGGCGTATTTTAGGTTGATGTTATTAATATAAAAATATATATATATAAAGATTTTTAGTTGACCACAATTTTAAGGTCAACAGAAGTGAACCACTGCAAACTTAGGAACAAAGGCATGTGCCAGTTCTAGAAAGCACATTTGACTTCCACTCTGACAGTATATGGTGTAGCTTAATTTCATGTCTGCATCCATATAAAATACTATCATTATTTGATTTCTTGCATCGCTATTTCTCTTCTTAATTTATTTAGTGTCATTTACTACCTAGTTAGCATTTATTTGGAAAAGAATGATGTTTACTCGTCATTAAATGAAAGAATGTTATGTTACTACAAAATTCTATCTTGTGCCAGCAAGCTCAGGGCAAGTTCACCTTCAATTGGAGCCGACAGATAGAAAGAATCCCAGAGCACTGAGTGGATTTTCAATCTTTATGCTTTCTGAGGGAACCAGGTACACAGGCACACCTGTACAGGTACAGGTAGGAAGGTTGCCATGCAAGGAGACAGGCACGACGGGGGTAGGGAGGTTCTGGAAAACTGGCAGGCAACTGAGATCTGCAATCACCACAAATCTTTGTGCTCTTTCTTTGCGCTCCTTATGTTGTCTGGGGGGGGGGGATCTCCCCTCTTCGATAGTCACGCTGCTCATCCTTGCATTGATGCCACTGCTTTTCTCCCCATCTCTAGGCTCAGGAGAGCCCACACCATACTCCAGGTGTCACCATTGGGCGCACGTGCCCCACGCCCATGCTCCCAAGAGACTTCTGCATTAACACTTTCAGGCCACAGGTGATAGCCACAGAGATCAGTGATGTAAAAAGCCTGATTCATTCACTAAGCTTACAAACATGTTAATGTCGCCTAAGATGGTGTAAACACAAGTGTTGTGTCTGGTTAAAGGGAGTATCAATAACTCTATTGGACTTTTTCACAAGGAGTTCATCAGCAGTATTTTGTGTAGGTCAGGGTGTTTACAGTCAAAAAGACACACTTAAAGAACAACAGATTAGGAAAAGGGGGAAGTAAGAAAAATCTGGATCTCTTAATTATAGAAGGGAAAGGCTTCTGAAGGACTTATTTGTGAAGGATGGGGTTTGTATATTCTGTTGTCCTCTAGAGAGCAGCACCTGGATCAATGATAGCCGGTTTGGGACTGATAGGAAAGCTGTCTCTAGTTGGTGATGCTGGTCAGATGCACGGCTGGTGATCTAGCAGAAGTCACAGTGGTGACTGAGGGAAAGTTATTGGCCTAAGGTTAATCAGGAGAACACTCCTTCAGATGATGCTCTTCCTGGACTTATTCCCTGACCTCCTGTGTGCTTAACTTCTTACTCACTAGAATGTGAGTCTTCTCCATCAGAAAGCATGATCTTTGATCTTAAGTAGTTTACAGGTAATTTAGAGAATATCAGTGGGCATGGGGTGTT